GTTCTCTACGTCTGAGTCCCTACAAGAGGTGATAGCTTTTGACAATGACATTTGAAACCTATATATAGATGGATCCTTGGACGCAAGGGGGCAGGGGTAGGTGTAGTACTCGCCAGTTCTGGAGGATTCACAGTAGAAGGAGCTATCAGATTGGGGTTCAAAGCATCTAATAACGAGGTCGAGTATGAGGCACTTTTGGCAGGACTCGATATTGCGTACTCGATTTAGGTTAGACACCTCCATATTTTTTGAAACTCCCAACTGGTAGTGAATCAAATCAATGGCGACTTCGAGGTTCGGGATAAAGGGATGAAGGCATATCATCAGAAGGCAAAGTCCAAAATTGAGAAGTTGGAGAAGGTGGAAATATCCTATATTTCAAGGAATTATAATACCTACGCCAATGCGCTGACCTCGACCTTGGCCTCGGAGGTGACTTGGCATATTATCATTGAAAATCGGGAGAGCCCGAGTATAAATGAAACAAAGGTTGAGCCGGTGCTGTCGATGCAAGTGCAAAGAGCGTCTCCGGGTTGGATGGACCCCATAATCACATATTTGATGGAAGGAGTATTCCTGAGGATGTCAAAGAAGCTAGGAAGATCAAACTCAAGGCTCTCAAGTTCTGGATATCCACCGATCACAAGTTATATAGGGAATTCTTCTCGGGGCCACATTTACTATGCATCTCCGAGGATAAAATAGAACCTTTGCTTTGGGAGATTCATGAGGGTGTATGTGAGAGTCATACAGGAGGAAGATCTCTCACACATCGAGCGATATCTCAAGGGTATTGATGGTTGTACATGCAGAAGGATATCAAGAGCTACATTCAAAAATATGATAAGTATCAAAAATTTGCTTCAATCATCCGACAACTAGCAGGAGATCTGAACTTATTGACAAGTCCCGGCCCATTCTCTCAGTAGGCCATGGATATTGTGGGACCTCTCCCAAGGGGCCCTTTAGACAAAAAATTTCTTCCAGTAGCCATTGATTATTTCACAAAGTATATCAAAATAAGCCCCTGAGCCATATTTGGACGTCGAAACGAAGAAATTTGTATAGCAGAACATTATCACTCGGTTTGGAATCCCTCAGGCCATCATCTTGGACGATGACACCCAATTCAACAGTGGTCCATTCAAGGAGTTTTGTTCAAATTTTGGTATACGTAATTATTATTCTACCCCAGCCTACCCACAAAGTAATAGAAAAGCGGAGGTCTCAAATAAGACAGTGTTAGCTAGCATCAAGAACAGACTGGAAAAGGCAAAGGAAAAGTAGACCGATGAGTTACTCAATGTGTTATGGGACTATAGGACAACGCTGAGAACTTCAACAGGTGAAACGTCATATGCCATGACATATGGGGTCGAGGTTATCATTCATTTGAAAATAGGGCTCCCAACAATACGAAGTCAAGCCTTCGAGTTAGGAAACAATGATCAGACACTTGCCAGAGATCTTAAATTAGTTGAAGAAAGAAGAGAACTAACATCTATCAGGCTAGCAAAGTACCAAGGAGAGCTGTCAAGACAACACCAAAAGAAGGTTCGAACGAGGGATTTTCAAGTAGGAGACTTGGTGTTATGCAAAGTTGTGGGCACAACTTGGGAACCCATTGATGAAAAACTTGGCCCCAATTGGGAAGACTCATACAAAGTAATTGTTATGAGGGATATAGGGGCATATAGGCTACGAGACATGGATGACAATGATGTAAACCGACCTTGGAATGTATCAAATTTGAAGAAATATTACTACTAAGTTGACTCCTAGGTTGTGGGTCTTAAAGATTAACACCAGGCTTGTGCTTGGAGAATAGGGGCACGGTTTCGAGAGGAATAAGACTCCTCCCTTGGAGCGTCACTCTCAAAAATTAACATGAGCCTCGAGCTTGGTCGTTAAGGGCACGCTCCTGAGAGGAATAAGACTCCACCCTTGGAGCGTCACTCTCAAAAATAACATGAGCCTCGAGCTCGATCGTTAGGAGCACGGTCCTGAGAGAAATAGGACTCCACCCTTGGAGCTTCGCTCTCAAAAATTAACATGAGCCTCTGGCTAGGTCGTTAGAGGCACGATCCCGAGAAGAATAAGACTCCACCTTTGGAGCATCGCTCTAAAAAATTAGCACGCACATCGAGTTTGGTCGTTGGGGGCACAGCCCCGAGGAGGATAAGTCTCCACCCTTGGAGCACCACCCTTGAAAAGTTAACGCATGCCTCGGGCTTGCTCGTTAGGGGCACGGCCCCGAGGGGGACAAGTCTAAAACACTTGTGCATTTTTAGAAACTCTATAAGTTTAGAAGTTCAAAGATCAGTAAAACATTTTAGTAGAATGAAATATAACTACGAGAAACAAGAATTTCTTAAAGGAATGAAAATTTCATTGACAAAAAAGAAGGGGTTTTGCGACCCCTGAGCATACAAAGAAAAAAGTGTAGAAGAAAAGAAAAAAACTAAGTCTCTAATCCTCTACTCTGCCTTCTGGGTTTGCTTGCTTTTCACCACCGACCTCTTCGTCGTTGAGCCTACCATGCCTTGTTAGCGAGCCCTCCCCAACGCCAAGAATTTCATCAAGCTCTGTATCAGGCTCTCCAGGGAGAATGAGGGGGTGCCCGGAGGGAGGAGATCGCTACTCTGAACCGAGGGAGTAGGGGAAGGCATCTGAGGAGAGGAATGTTGTTCAAAACCATCACTAAGTGTGATCGATTCGTTCTGACCTTCAGTCCCTCCTACTCATTCGACTGGTCCTAGAGCTGGCTCGAATTGTTGCTACTCCTCAGGAACGACCCTTACTTTGGGCTCCTTGAGTACTGTGCATTGAAAAAAGAGATGAGCCAACTTCGACCCCGACAGCATACAAGGGCCCGTCCAAGCCCTCCTTGAAGACCTTCTTCTTGGTTTCGTCAAAAGCTGGGACCATCTGATCTTGACACTGAAGTACAGTAATGATATTGACTTCTGAGCTTAATGATATGTGATATTTTGTTAATTCAACTTTTAATTTTCTAGCAAAATTTTTGCTCTGTAAAAATTCTTGAGTCATTATTCCATGTATATTGATTGCTTGAATTTTCTGTGAGTCAAATAATTTGTTATTTCATGCTTAAGTTGATTATCATTATTTCACAAGATAATATAATTGGATGATTATTTAGGTTCCTGAATAATCATTTGATTATAAATAATAATATTCTTGTGGTTTTATTGCTAAATTTGGTGACTTGAATTAACTGACATTTGATTCTTGTCTAGGGTTAAGAATTGAGTCTTTAATTATTATTGTATGGATTTGAGAGAGAGTACTTGATGCTCTAGTAATTTTGTTATACTGTTTTAATTACTTTAATCAATTTTCTCAATTCAATATTCTTTTAAACAAATCATTGTTACAAGATTGTTATAGTATTAGTGTGATTGATGTTGTTTTCCAATTCCCTAAGGGTTCGACTTCGGTCAATCGAGAAATATATTACTTCAGTCAACCTACGCTTGGGTTTACAATTTTAAAGTTGAAGCATTGAGCAGCTTTGTATCCTTCTGCAAGAAGAAACTGAAATGTAAGGTTAGAAGCAGAAATAAGAGCTGGGCATTTCAAAATATGTGCGATACACACCTAGACCACTCGACACTTTGGGGTAGTATAATTCATCATACTCAGGCCCATCTCATTTCTTCTAACTGCCGCCGAGCATCATTAGATCCTGGACATACCCCTTATCCGAGTCTGGTATGTGAGTCACTAGATACATGGAAGGGTTCTAAGCCTAAAGGTAGTACCTGCCCCCAACGACTATTTTTAAGTCGTAGCAGAACAGGATTTCATCTACCCAAGGTTTACCTCCAGTCGAGCATTTAGGGCGATTACGCCCATTACTACTCTGAAGAAATTTATGCCGCATTGGAGGGAAAAAAAAAACCTCAAGTGCATTAGCATACTCAGCAAAAAGGGATGGAGGGGGAACCTAACTCACCCGTCCATAATGGTCTTGGTGTAGAAAGGCATGAATTTTGCACTCCCTATATCATTCTTATGAAAATCAGGATCAAAGACAAAGGTATAAACTGGATCCGGGATGTGGTATCTATCCTTAAAAGCCTAGATGTTGTTGTTTGTTACTTCAGTTCTCGTCAACCTACCACTATCCCTAGCCCTAACAGGTTCCCTCACCACTATTCTTTGTATTCTGGCCATGGATGAAATCTAGAAGAAATGTAGAAGAAGAATGGGAAGATGAATGAGATAATCGTGGGGAGGAAAGTACTTATAGGTCGAAGATCTTCAAAGATGAGTGCTCAAGGGAATAAGAATAGGCACTCGGGAGATTAAAGAAGAGTGGTCAGGAGTTGGTTGCTGAGAGAAAATTTGAAGATGCAAAGTCTGCAAAGAGCCAAATGATTTCCTATTTATACCCTGCAGTAGGAGTCAGAATCGAAGAGGCAAGTCATCCTTTGGAAATTTGAGAAAAGCGGCGCGAGACGTGCAAGTAACTGCCCTTGTCACTAGGCCTGTTAAATTTCGACACGACACGATTAACAAACACGAATCGACACGAATTAAGCAGGTTTGGGTGAGACTTAAACGGATTCGAGTGATAAACGGGTTAACCCGCCAAACACGTTTAATAAACGGGTTGTGTTCAGATGAGACTTGTCAATCCGTTTAAAAAAAATAATATAATAATAAATTAATAATTATTTTTAAAAAATTAGTCAAAATTAAAATATTATATATAACTATATGATAAAGAAAATCTTATTTCAGAAAAATTAAATAGAGATTACTCACTTACCCCCCTTTTGCAAAGCTCGATGTGGGAATAAATAAGACACGTTTCTTTCTTCTCTCTTTCTGGCTTCTGCAGATGAGAGATTTGAGCTTGACCTGAGTTTCTTTCTTCTCTCTTTGTGGGTTTATAGACACTGATTGAATGTTGATGTGCTATGTATGGATATGTTAGGCATCATAAAAGGAACGATGACTACAACTCACTCTTACACTAGAGACCAGAGGTTTCTTGATGCAAGCCACAAGGACCTTAGACGTGCATGAGCTACAGCTCTCAACATAGTTCCAACTTCAACTGGTGTTGCAAAAGCAGTGACCCTTGTTCTACCCACCTTCAAAGGAAAGCTCAGTGTCATTGCCTTCCATGTGCGCACACCTAACGTCTCAGTTGTGGACCTTGTCGTTCAAGTGGAAAACATTTGCGGAGGAAAGTGAATGCTGCAACAAAAGAAAGTGCTGAGAAGGAACTGAACGAACACACGGTAAAAGCTTTTGGCTTGAATCCCACATTGACAAATTCAAATAAAGGAGACCTCCCATGCTTATAAAATGATGCAACCCCATCCTTTAGTCATTAAACCTTCTCATTTGTTTTTGCAAGTGGTAGCCAACTGAAAAAATTTTAATTAAGAGAGTACAATTTGTGTGGGTAATTAATGGAGTTTAAAATTTTAATAGGATAATTTTTTTGTTGCGGGCTAAAATTTTAATAGAATAATTTTAATAAAATTAAATGGGTTAAACGAGTTATGTCGTGTTACCTATTTATTAAACGGTTCGTGTTTTTGTTTAGGTTTTTTACATGTTTATTAAACATGTCATGTATGGGTTTACATGTTTTTCACTCGTCACCTATTTAACCCAATATGTAATTGTTTAACCTGACACGGTTGACACCCCTACTTGTCAACCCGACATACTCAGGAAGCCTCCAATCTCCATGCGCCATTTGTCCCACGTCGCAAGAAGAATAGAGGTTGAGGGGCAGTTGACTGGACTTTAGCTGACTCAGTAGTCCCCAAATTGACACGTTGATTGATACAACCGTTATGGAATTCAAAAGGTGCCGAGAGATAGCGTTTAAGAGTTATTACTCAGAAGAGTCGCGTGAATAGGCTCGGATCAGTATTTAAGGAGATATGACAGCTCATTCATGAGGACTTGAATGACTGTGATAGAGCTATTAAAGAGTCTCTACATCCTCGAGACCTTAAACTAACAGTCATAATTGTAAAGCATTAATGGTCATAGCACCGATCAGGTGTCCTCGGCAAACCCNCTATATGATAAAGAAAATCTTATTTCAGAAAAATTAAATAGAGATTACTCACTTACCCCCCTTTTGCAAAGCTCGATGTGGGAATAAATAAGACACGTTTCTTTCTTCTCTCTTTCTGGCTTCTGCAGATGAGAGATTTGAGCTTGACCTGAGTTTCTTTCTTCTCTCTTTGTGGGTTTATAGACACTGATTGAATGTTGATGTGCTATGTATGGATATGTTAGGCATCATAAAAGGAACGATGACTACAACTCACTCTTACACTAGAGACCAGAGGTTTCTTGATGCAAGCCACAAGGACCTTAGACGTGCATGAGCTACAGCTCTCAACATAGTTCCAACTTCAACTGGTGTTGCAAAAGCAGTGACCCTTGTTCTACCCACCTTCAAAGGAAAGCTCAGTGTCATTGCCTTCCATGTGCGCACACCTAACGTCTCAGTTGTGGACCTTGTCGTTCAAGTGGAAAACATTTGCGGAGGAAAGTGAATGCTGCAACAAAAGAAAGTGCTGAGAAGGAACTGAACGAACACACGGTAAAAGCTTTTGGCTTGAATCCCACATTGACAAATTCAAATAAAGGAGACCTCCCATGCTTATAAAATGATGCAACCCCATCCTTTAGTCATTAAACCTTCTCATTTGTTTTTGCAAGTGGTAGCCAACTGAAAAAATTTTAATTAAGAGAGTACAATTTGTGTGGGTAATTAATGGAGTTTAAAATTTTAATAGGATAATTTTTTTGTTGCGGGCTAAAATTTTAATAGAATAATTTTAATAAAATTAAATGGGTTAAACGAGTTATGTCGTGTTACCTATTTATTAAACGGTTCGTGTTTTTGTTTAGGTTTTTTACATGTTTATTAAACATGTCATGTATGGGTTTACATGTTTTTCACTCGTCACCTATTTAACCCAATATGTAATTGTTTAACCTGACACGGTTGACACCCCTACTTGTCAACCCGACATACTCAGGAAGCCTCCAATCTCCATGCGCCATTTGTCCCACGTCGCAAGAAGAATAGAGGTTGAGGGGCAGTTGACTGGACTTTAGCTGACTCAGTAGTCCCCAAATTGACACGTTGATTGATACAACCGTTATGGAATTCAAAAGGTGCCGAGAGATAGCGTTTAAGAGTTATTACTCAGAAGAGTCGCGTGAATAGGCTCGGATCAGTATTTAAGGAGATATGACAGCTCATTCATGAGGACTTGAATGACTGTGATAGAGCTATTAAAGAGTCTCTACATCCTCGAGACCTTAAACTAACAGTCATAATTGTAAAGCATTAATGGTCATAGCACCGATCAGGTGTCCTCGGCAAACCCCTAAATATTGTACCCCGAGCATTAAAAACTCAGGAATAAGAGTCAAGCACTGATCATAGAAACTTAAATGACTGGAGGTAGTCATAAGTGCTCGGCATACCCCTGAGCACCTGTCCTATCACTCGAGCATTGAACGCTCACGAGAATCTGAGTGGAGAACACTCATTACACGTAGAGAAAAGTGTAAGTCATTAAATGTCATGATGGAACTCAAGACCCTTGCACTCATTACTGGTATATGTACAAATACTCCTTAGAAAGATGAATAAAGATACGCAAATTAAACTGAAAAAATACATTGTGCTAAAGTCTCCAACGCCTATTGACTAAAGCTTTGGAAGAAATAAGTCACCGACCCCTTTCCTAACCTTTTTGATTGTTTCAAGTTCATCATCTGATAGATTGTTATCTCTATTCATTGTAGAAAATCCCCTGTGCAAACGGCAATAAATTCATGCGGATGTTTTGAAGCACGGAGTGAATAATGATATATATGTACAGAATCCTGTGATTTATATTTCTAGCTGTGTTGATTACTTGTGGTTCTATGAATTGTTTAAGTATTTTGTTAAGGTGAGAAATTGAGGGTTAAAGCCGGATGAGACCACGATGGTAATTCTGCTTTCTGCTTGTGTTTTGAATATTATTTTATTTTTATTTTTTTGTAGTGAGTGTTACTATTTTTGAAAATATTAATATTAAATGTTATTATTATTATTTTTATATTTTATTTTTCTGAAATGTTAATATTAAATGTTACTTTTTTTTTGGAATGTTAATATTTTTTGTTTTATTTTTTGAAATGTTAATAAATTCAATGTTACTATTTTGTATTTTGTATGCTAATATTTAATGTTACTTTTTTAAAAAATATTAATATTAAATGTTATTATTTTTTATTTTGAATGTTAATATTTTTTGTTTTATTTTTTGAAATGTTAATATTGAATTTTACCATTTTCGAAATGTTAATATATATTGAATGTTGCAGTTTTTATGTTTTGAATGTTACTAATTTTTGTTTTATTTTTTGAACTGTTAATAAATTATATATTACTATTTTTTGTTTTGTATGTTACTATTAAAGAGAGAGTACTAATCTATGAAAGATCTAAAAATAAAGAATTTTGAATTTAATTTAGTTTACAAATTTATTTTAATTAAATATAACTTTTATGAGTATTTTGGATCATAAAAAATAAAATGAGCTTATTCTTAAATAAGTTTTGAAAAATTGACCAGCCTGCAAATTTTCCAAGAAATTGGAATTTAATAAGTAAGTTTTAAAGAAGCTTTTGGTTGCCTCGTTCATCTTCCAATATGATAGGCAACTGGGCTAAATTTATTGAACTCAAATAACTTGACTTATTTTATGTAGCATTTTGATGTTAGCTGACTGACGATTGTTTGGAGTTCAAACTGAGCTAAACAAAATTGACGGCTTGAAAACATGTTTGAGTTTCCTCTTCATTAAGGTTGGTGTAAAGGAGAGCGTTTAGAAATTATTTCGATAAATTTTTATTGGTGAGATTATGAGGTTGTTGACCGCGTTTGTTACTCTTTTCGGGAATCAACTTAATTAGAGTAGCATAACGGTCAACCACTGAACCCCAATGTGAACTCTAATGCTTCGTTTGGTAGGAATGATAGAAAGTATAAGGGAGACAATTTTTATCTTTCAAAGAAGAAAAGTAGGAATAATTCAATTTGCTTCTTTTGTATTTGGTAGGATTAATGTAAAATAAAAATGATTAACTTTTTTTTTTTTTTTTGTGTTTGCTAAGATTATGGGTGACAATCGAATAGTGTCATACCAAGTTCGTGTCGAGTTATTGCGAGTTCGTGTCGAATATTAATAAAACCTAACTCAACTCATTTAATTAATCATATCGTGTCGTGTCGAGTTGACCTGTTTATTTTCTTATCGTGTTCATATTCGTATTCATATTGACTCACATAAACTTTGAATAAAAAATTTAACGCTAATATTTTATTTTCACTTAATTGAATCAATGTTCATATTTTTTTTACAAACTAAAAATTAACTTAAATAAGTATAATAATAATAATGAGTCAAAATATCTTTTTTATATAATAATATGTCACTGCTTAATAAATAGTTACAAATAATTAACATTTTATATCTATAACACTAGTTAAAATATTAATTTCGTGTTACCATATAAACGAGAAAATAGAAAAAGTGTTTATTCTTAAATAAACAAGTTGATGGCGTCAATTTTAGGTCTGACGGATTGAATTGAATATGAGCCGTTTATATTTCATATTTGTGTGTCAGGTCACTTTCAAGTTCGTATTGAGTTAGAATCAAACTCATGTCATAAAATTCGTGTCAAGTTCGAGTCATGTCATCGTATTGAGTCAAGAATTTTCACCACTAGCTAAGATGGAAATTTTTTTTTATTATTTTTTATTTTTATTTTTATTTTAAAATTTTTTATTTTAAATTTTTTAAAACAAATATAAATATATAAGTGAAATTAATATATACATAATATATGTATATATCAAAATATATACAAACAAATAAGATACATTTCAACACAAATAATTTACTTTCCTCTCGATTTTGGAGGGATTGATTTTGGTGAGTTGAAGGAAAAGTTCATTTATCCACTTTTTCATTATTTCTATTTTCATTTCTTATAAAATATAATGTTTTATCTATCTCTTGATCTTTTTATTTTTCTATTTTTTTTATCATACTAAACGGAGCATAAGATTCAAACATCCAACCTTAATATGAGAAGTTTGGTCAGTACTCTACTGAACCACACCACTCAGTGTTTGAGTTTGATTCATCTATCACACGACCAAAACTCAAATGAGGCTCCAATAAGTCCAACCCCAATTGTGACTGACTAGTTTTATTTGTTATAGTTCTATAATCGCAAGAGGTAACTCAGGTAATAATAAAGATAAATTGTAAATTTAGACGTTTTGAGTTTGAATTTTAGCAATTCTTTGAAGTCAAACCATGAAATATTTATCCTCATAAGTACCCTAGTTCTGGCGTAAATGATTTACCTTCGATCAAATTAAAAAGAAGATTAATCAAAATATGTATAACTTGACCTGAACACTCCCTAACTATTGAAAAAAGAAAAAAAAGTTACTTTTCTATGTGGCCTAGCCAAAAGGAACCAGTTTTTTTTTGTATCTCAAAAAAGAAAAATGCTATGTATACCAAAATTTTTACTAAAAAATATTTTTATCAAATGAGTTAACAGCTTCAGATCACTCTTAGACCCACAAAATACTGATCAAAATAGTTTTGACTAGATATGGAGTTACCAACTCATTTGATAAAAATTTTGGTAAACAAAGCACTACTCAAAAAAAAATTGCTTTACACATTTTCCCTTACACGACCCTCCCAATTACTTAGAAAGTTTCCCATTAGGGATCACAATGAGCCATCAACGTAAAACTGACTTCCTTCTTTTTCACGACCAACAGAAAACTCCCTTTCACCGCTAAGTATGGTGGTTTAGTGGGGTATGAGTTTTACTCTTTATCTTGAGGTTAAGAGTTCGAGTTTTGGAGTTTTTATTGAAATTTGGTGGTTGGCCGCTATATTAGCTTATCTAAGTTTAGTCCCGAGAGTTGTTTCAGGCGCAGTCAGAGGCCGTATGATCCCACCAGTGATAGCCTATTGAGGTGGTCGCTAGACGCTTTTTAGCGCCCCCCCCCCCCCCNCCTTTGGTATTTGTGTGTGAAAATAAACCAAGTACCCAATGCCCTTGCCTTAGTTTTGGTAGGGCCAGGAGGTATTGAACCCACATATACGCCTAGGGGTGTGGTCCATATGCAGCCCTAGCTCCCCCATACTTTTAGACTATACGTGAAGACAATTTGTACATAATATTAAAAATTGAATATTGATCTTGAAATATTTATATTCTAAATAATAATTTATTTTTTTAAATTAAAATTAAAGTGAATAAAGAAAAAATAAGAAAGACATAAGGAGAGAGAAGAGAGAAGTAGGTGTTAATTAAAGGGTTGCATGTGTTGGCCTTGGGGAGCGAGTTAATTAAATTGCTTGGCATTGGAA